AGCCGGATAGTATTCTTGGCCTAGTGTTAACGTGAAACTCTTACAAGAATGACACCCAGCTCTGATGATGTTCATCATATGATGGACATCATCAACTCAGCAGGTTTTCACCCGAAACGAGGAAGGAAGTCTTGTGGACTGCGTCAAAATGAATATCGTATAAAAGCAAAATGGCTGCAGTACAACGAGATTCATCCGTCCTCATCTGGTGAGATCAACCAACGAATATCTTCTTCATTCCCTTTCATGTAAACTGAAAGTCCACCTAACAATTTAATCTCAAGTAATTCATCGAAACCCAGTTTTCTTCATATAGATTATTTTTGTTTGGTTTACTGCGTTTTGAGAATTGCCTAAGTCTTATATGCACATATGCTTAAACTAAGATATGAAATCCAGTATGGTGTAATCTGAGAAATCGTTTCATTCTCCTTCAGCTGTATATTGCTAGTTTGATATTTTATTCTCAACTTGATTGGTTTTGACAGAGACTTAGAATAAGAAATTACAACAATAGCATGAAGCTTTCGCGTTTGCCTGCAAGCAAGGATAAGTTACGAATACTGCACTAAACTAAACTTTGTTTATATGTTGAATAAAAATCTAGATAGCGTAGCATGCCAACCTACCTGTCCTTTTGCAAAAGGTGAGGTTTCAGCCATTACAGGTCTGCATAGTGCACGGGGTCCCGTGTCCCCGAATTCGCCGTAGAGTATCACATTTATCTGAGCCGTAGTGCCGGCGTTCCACAGGTCTCCAGTAGCTATAATCAGTCTGTAACGAATTACTGTGAGATAAAAAAGGTAGCATTCAAAGTACACAAATTAGACGGTTTATTCGGGTTCCATGCCTAAAATCACATTAGGTTTAATAACTTTTTATGAGATTATGCCTTGTGCTTAGGTAAAAGATGTAGTAAAATAAATATCGTCACCATGAACATAAACTATGTGGACATGAAGAGCATTGTTATTAGATAGGTTTAATTAAGTATAACTTCATGCGAAGCTTAGCAGATGTACTCATTAATTATACTTATTATTATATTAGATTATTATATGCCTCGTTATAATTATCATATTCATGTTTGTTCATATATTATTCTTTAATTCCAAAGGGTAATAATGTACAGTTTCATCGAAAGTATCAATAACCATATTTTATGGCCTATATTATGGTTGAGGCCTCCTTTCGATGAGTAGAACTGATTTGAATTCATTTCAGAAACCGGATCGTATTGCCAGCGAGACAGGTGAAGGCAGCTTGTCCGAAGTCTTCTGCCGAAGTATCCATGATAATTTCCAGTTCTGGATATCCATGGTCCCAGGTCGGAAATTATCATCGCTACTCTAGCCAAGGACTCTACTCAAGGACAAAGTGTGTTGACCTGGGTCTCTGAAAATATGACTAAGTTGAGAATTATGAAAAATAAGTTGAGAAAACAGGTCTGCAATGATATATTATTGGGAAAAGTGGAAAACTATTGAAGTGGGTTGACCTCGTTGCAACTTGGTATTGTTGTCAGGGTTACTTAGTAGGACGCATCTAGTCCGAAGTCGTCTGCCATAGTAGTTGTCATGATTCGCAACATAAGACAGTGGACTTGGTACATTCTCAAACGTTTCATCGGCATCGTAGTCGGCATCATCAGTGAGTTTTGCCATTCTCAGCACCAAGCTACGAACTCGTCAAAGAGACAAATGAAGTCAATCTGTCTACAAACGTTCTGCCGAAAACGGTTACACTATCACTCCTCTTTCTGTTCTGACTTACCTATTAAGGAGAGGACCCGTGAAGGGAAGGCCTGATATCTGCAAGCATGGCAATCAGAGCTCAGTGAGGAGGCAGTGTATGTACTTCTAGAGCCTTGAAAAATAGTGCCTCGAATGGAATGCACGCTGGGACTGGAACCGAGTGAAATCGGTCAACCAGAAAGATAAGGAACGGATCTACGAGACAATGAGGGGATTCGAATTGGAGGACCAAGTCGGATCAACCTATCGAAAGAGGAGTCGGGGTGAATAGGAGGCCACACTAGATTTGCCACAAAAGGGCACACATTTTGACAAGTGGAATGTAAACAAGTAAGAAGTTGTTATGGGCGGCAATGTGATAAGAGGGTAAAGAGTAGATAGATAGGCCAAGGCAGAAAGAGGAATGATAGTGTAACCGCTTTCGGCAGAAGTTTGTCGAAGGATTTATTTCACTTGGTGCTGAGACTGGTAAAGCTCACTGATGATGCCGACTACGATGCCGGCGGAACCTTTGAGAATGTACCAAGTCCACTGTCTGATGCTGGGAATCATGACAACTACTATGGCAAACGACTTCTGACTAGGTGCGTTCTGCTAAGTTTCTCTGACAACAAGACCTAGTTGCGACAACGAGGTCAACCGACTTCTTTCAATCGAAAGGAGATTGCGACCATACCAGAGGCCACAAAATCTTGGTCTTTATATCTTCAATGGAAAACTATTGTCTGTTCGTATGCATAGAACAGTTTAAGGCAGTGGTTCCCAAACTTTTCATAGTCACGGCGCCCTTGTTCAATTAAAATGTTTCCATGTCGCTCTACTCTAAGTATGACTATTCGTAAGTAAGAGACAGAAATAAATAAAACTTGTGTATCTTACTTTTTTTTTACTTTAGTAACATTAAATTAATATTTAATAATTAATGTGATGGATGAGCCTGCAAATCACTAGACCATTTCTCAAATTAAAGCTTTGACAATATTTCGCGGCGCCCTGTAAAGAGGCTACGGCTCCCCGAGGCGCCCCGTCGGACAATTTGGGAATTACTGATTTAATGCAAATTTCACTCGCCCACCTTTTTAATTTGGAGTAGAAGAAGAGTCACTGGGGACGGAGCAGAGGAGGTGGAAGCAAAGTGGATGGCCGAATAGATCTCTTTGCTAAAGAAATTATAGCAGTGATCATCACAAGACTCTAAGCTAATATAAGGGTCAAATGAGGGCTACTGGCAATGAAGTGATGCGAATGCTTTACTTTGAAACTCCAGAGGAACTACAGTTTCCGTGCTCCTTCGTTCACAGACTCAAGTCAAATCTAGAAAATAGTGACTGGAAAGGTCAATTGACTAACGTCTGTAGAGGTAAAGATTCTTTGTGTTGTCGCTCAAATCAAACCTCTGATTTGGTTATCAAGCTATCGAGATAAGATAATTGCTTATGGCTATGATACAGAAGAGGGTATGGGGCAGAATAACCTCAAAGCAAAATCAGCTCGGTGGTGGGACACATATGGTACGAGATATCGCTTTTAAACGGCTAGGCTCCAACAATTCACTATTGCATTTTGGTCTATTATGCAAAGTGTTATCCACCAAGTAAAAGAGATGACGCCCAGAATCAGACTCCATTTGGTCGCTTACCACTAGACATCATTAGAGCATTAAGTCACACTCAAATAAGCTTTATAATAAGTTAATATTTTATCCAAATTTCTGGCTAAGTTCATTTAGTGTTGGAGAGACTTTCATTTTGTATAAAAGTATATTCCTGTGTTGATCTCACCAAAAGACGACAGCTGATTCCCATTGTTCTGTAGCCGTTTAGCCTTAATACGACCTTCAGGTTGACGCAGTCCACAAGACATCCTCCCTCGCTTCGGGTGAAAAGAGGCTAAGCTCTCGTCAATTATACGATGAACATCATCAGAACTGGAACTTATTCTTGTAACAGTATCATCTGAACACTAGGCAAAAATAACTGTTTAGTTCTATCTCACCTCTTTTTAATATTCATATATAAAAATGAAAATGAATAGGCAAGTTGTATATAAAATGGTATGACTAATTATCTTTCATAT